TCCGGGATTGGATACTTTGTCACGTCCCGACCCGTTTTGCTCGTCCTAAGCTCGGGCTGTCCTAACGAATCGTGGTGCAAATCGAGTATGATTTGGTTGAACTCAATTTCGGGCAACGATGAGTTCATGAAATACGGAAGCATTTGTCTTTTGTTCGGAATTATGGTCTTCTTGTGCCCTGCATAGGCCCTATGCCCCTGTTTCAATAAAATATATCCAACAATTGGTCAAGAGTTCAACACCTCAAACAGAGAACAGAATTGTAACAAATGCACTATTCACAGGTGAAATTTTTCGCTTTCGAGTCATTTAGCCCTTTCTTGTTTATAGTTACATCTCACTCATAGCAAATGGAAGAAATAATGCTATTTCTTAAAGATAACCTGGTTTCATTTTTCTCTTTGTGTTCTTCATTAAAGTTATGTGTAAATCAGCTTAAATAACTATGAACTGTGGTATGTATTCATAGTTAACTGTCCTTCATAAGCAATACAATTACTTCATCACATCTTCCAAATGCTCTCGATATAAAATATACTGTTACTGTCAGTAATGGACTTCGACTATGTTTGGTAAGCTTATAAGCTAGTCTATAGATTATTTGCTTAGCTTATAAACTTTTTGTACGAAAAAAATCTTGAGTTTATCTCGTAAGTTTCATTTTGTATCTTTTCAAATAAGACACATTGAAATTTTTATTTCAGCTAGGTTATTAGCTAATTTCGCTAAACACTTTAATCATATAAGGTAGCTTTCCAGCCATAAGTCCTAAGATATCACCTGTAAGCTCAAAATTCACTTATATCTATGTTTACAAAACATAACCTTCATACCTGAATGGCATGACCCATATTCCCGCCATGAGATGCCATGAACACGTTGCTATTTTCAGAAACAATATAATCGATAGCAGCAAGAAATGAAGCCGTCTTTGAGAATGGTTCAAGCTCGCCAGGCAAAGCAAGATCTTCCTTGTTATAGAAATTCGGAAATTCCTTCATCAGAGGCAGCAAGGCTTCTTTTCCTCCTAGTGGAACCCCTCCAGCCCAATAGATTCTTGCGCTCTTTGGAGCTCCCAATGCTTTGAGCAACCTAAAAATTAATTCAGAAAACCACAATTTGTTTCTTGTAAGTTTGAAATTAACCTAAAGAATTAAAAGAAAAATGTGAATAATCTTTAGCATTTGATAATTGATCAAACTCACCTTACGACTTCCAAGGCGTTTAACGGACAAAGGCCCGCGAGCTTCCTGTCATGGTAAGTCATGTTAGATCTTGAAGTCAAAAGCTCGGGCCGAGCTTTTCTTTCGTTGTGTATAATCTCGTCGAATTTGGGACTTAGGCCGGGAAGGCATCCTGTCCTAACCCAGACATCCTTTTCCATTCTGAGATGAAGGGCAAGATAATGTCCCTTGCTCTGCATTCTCTCTGTAAGTTTTTTGCCGATATCCAATATATGTGGAGCAAACCTCAAAGCTTGAAAAGCCACCTTCATTTAGAGGGATACCAAAAAAAAAAATGAGGAACAAATTTGAAGTGTATCTATACTTTAAAAAAAGGGAAAAAAATATATACCTTGCAGCGAAGCTTTTGGAGATCAGATGGAAGATCCTTTGAGAGTCTGGAGTCCAAACCGCGTAATAATAATACTCCATCCCTCCTAAGCTGCATTAATAAAATAATATTTTTGAAATAAACAACATAAAATAAAGAAATTAGAAGGAAAAAAAAAAGGGCTTTGCCATAACCAAGAAGCAAGAAACAAGAAAGCTTCTGGGTGAAAGGGTTAATCACGACATAAACATAAATTACTCAAGAACACGAAAAGTTCAAAATTATTTACTTACTTTTCTCGAATAATGCGAACGAATCCAGTTGGCAGATGCGTGAAGGGGAGTCCTCTTCTCCTCCACCGGCCTTGTCATCAAATGAGTCGAGGGAAGCGAAGAAACTATCCTCACATCATCCGACAGAACACTCTTGAAATGGTCCAAATCGAATATATCAATAAATTCACTGCAGCAAGTCAATACAAAACAACACCTTAATCATTTCATCCAAAAAAAAATCTTTATGAAATCTCACAGCAATGCAGCATTCGTCAAATGGAAAACCTGAATTCTGACTCCTATCACACATGCCATTCCGTAAATGCTTGGTTCTAGATGGACTTGGTTAATAAAGGAAATATACTAAATTCACCCAAAAACATCAATCAAGATACTCATAGCTCAGTTCACGCTCGACTCGACTAAAACTCATTCGCAATCAATCAGAATCAGCAATGGAACTAAACCCAATTATTATTACTGAAGCTCAACAAGGTTCAATAATACTCATAAATTCACAACCCATAAGGCCACAACATATAATCGATCAAGATGCTCATAGCTCAATTCGGGCTCGACTCTACCAACACTAAATCACAATCAATCTGAATCGACAATCGTACTAAACCCATAAATTATTCCCGAAGCTCTACAGGGTTCAATAGTACTTGATCTATTCACGACCCACAAGGCCACAAACATGATCTATTCTATCCAAAATCAAAAAAAGAAGCTACAAGAAAAACAAGAAATCAAGAATTGACAAGCACAAACCTTTCATCACCCCAAATAACATTGACCTGCAAAATGGGCACAACCAAAGCTGCCCCGAGAATTCGGGCAATAACCACGGCATCGACAATCTGATTCCTCTGCTGGTTCATACCCCCAGAGACCACCACCATCAGGTACTTAGTCCTGTCCTTCAAAACCTCCACACTCTCCTTACGGTACTGTTCGCTAAAATCCAAACACGGCCTGTACCCCATCCCGTCGGGCTGCCGCCAGAACTCGATTCCGGCGTCGCCTTCGTCGATACTCCGGCGGGAACCCAAAACCCCACCGGATTTTGACTCAATTTCTTCACGAACCTGACACGGGCTCTGCGCGAAGGGCGCCGAGGGGTCGAAATCGAGCCACAGCATGGACGTCCACAGGAGGCCGAAGGCGAAAATCGAGAGGATGAAAAACCTCGGGGATTTTAAGAAGGCCCTGAGCTTGGACCACGGGGAGTGGTGGTTCTTCCTCGGCGACCGGAGAAGGGAATCGAGCGACGATTGGGAGATGGAGCCGATGATTTGTGAAGGTACGGAGATGTAACTATGGTGGTGGTGGTGGTTCTTCTTGTGCGCTGCCATTTTCACACGTGTACTGCCACAGGACGAGCGAGCTTCAGAAAGGCAACAAGAATTAAATTAAGTAAAAAAATGGATGAAAAATGAGAAGTGGATAGAGAAAGATGGGAGCTTTTGATTGATTCGGAGGAGCTGAAAAAATGGCGTGATGGGATTTGTTTATAGGTGTTTTCTGGTTGCCGTGTGCTGTGAGAGCTTTCGTGGAAAGGTTAGAGAGAGAGAGAGAGAGACTTTGGGATTTGGGGGTTTTGCTGTAGAGAGAGAAAGTGCGGGCGGCGGGAAGACGAAAGCCGATTGGCACGCGTTTTATTTATTTTATTTTATTGTTTTATTGTTGTCTTTTGTTATTATATTTATTGTATTTTTTTTTTTACAATTAGTATTGGATAATAAAATATGGGTCCGGTCCGAGTCACGGGGTTTTATGTTGGATCTATGTCTCATACCTTTTCCTTTTTTTTTTTTCGGTTTGAATTATATGAAAACGTATTTTTATTCTAAATTAATGTCATTTTATAAGAAAATGTGATTAATGTAATATAATCTAACACAATAAATACTTTGGATAATATATCAATCAAGTTATGTTGTGGACCAAAAGTTTTTATATCGCTCGTGCGAAAGCAGTAAATGATAATAAGTTAGGTTCGTCTGTAATCAAATAATGACGCGCTTTAAGTCCATAAGTTTAACAGACAAACTTCAAAAGTTTTTTTTTAAAAAAAAAAAACAAATTTAAATTTTATGTATGAACAATACCTGTTGTGAGGAGATCATATTTATAATCTGACAATATTTATAATATATTCACAACACGTTATCAACACAACACTAGTTTGTAAGTAAATTTGAACTTATAGCTAATAGATTGTAGCTCAGTGCTAAAAAGTTAGATTATATATAAAAAATATGTTAGGAAAAATAAACTGATAAGTCAGATGCAATAAAATATTCAACAAATTTTTTTGAAAAACTACTTAATAAAGCTTATGAAATAAACTATGGGTTTTACAAAAGTTCGTCCTACCAAGTCATATTTATTTGAATGTAAAAAAAAAAAATTATAAGCTAATTAGATAAATAGTTTATAACATTTACCAAATGCACCTTTATGTTAGGAAATTTTTAATAACAAAAATGGTAAGTATAACGAATTCGGGTAGTCCTTACCAAACAATGGGATTTATAAAATTCTACACGACTTAACATTAGCAAATAATTGCATGTGTTGTTGCTACTTTATTTCAGTTTCTTCTCCTAAAATTGAGCTCATCAACTTGGCCATGATTTGCTTAAAGAATGTAAATGCTTGTGTTGGTTGTACCTTTTAGTTTCTTGCTCTTTTGTTGTGGGCTCTTGTGCCTATTAGGGCTGGGATTTTTCCTGTCCCGTGCTAAGTGGACTATTGATCTACTTCGTGTTGGCTGCAATTCTTTGATTTCCGATGTACTCTTTATTTGAGTGATATAAAAGTTACCGTTTGCCGTTTGAAAAAAAAAAAAAAAA